CATCCAGATATAGCTGCATAATCAGATCATGAATGAATTCAGCCAGTCTGATGAAACTGCTATTTTTTTACTGTATCAATTTTTATTTTATTTGTTAGCATGTAGTTTTCTAATGCTTATTTTGGAAAAAACAATCTCCAAAATAAAACATTTTCCATGGTAAAAAATAAGAAAATAAAGACAGCGAACAAAGAGGATCAATAAAGTTAAAGTTTAACAAGTGGGATATTTTTTATCAGTTATTTTTACGATGGACACCTGACTCACCCCTTCTGCTGCTGAAGAACCAAAATATATCCATGCTAGCACCTCAACTTCTACATGCCCTCGGCTTTGATGGATGATGCTGAGACAACAGACAGAGGAAGGAAGGAGCGAGAGAACCAAAGACAGGACGACGATGATGCAGTCAGCTGCGTTAATAATCCTCTAATCCTCTCCAATCGCCAAACGCTTTCTCTCTCTCACTGAACTCGTCTGATGTTTGTCATGGTGTTTCTCTCTGTCCACCCTCCCTCTGGTTTCCTAGGCATCGCTCCATCTGTCCCTTTTACCGACTTAAATATTATATAAAGACTTTTAACATTTTGAGAATATCGCATGTGTGTCTCTGTGTATATTTTTGTGTGTTACTTTATCAAGTAAGTAAAGAAGCACACAAGTAAGGATAAGTACAGCTTTAACTACCAAAATTCACTTAGGCTATTTATTAATTAATTATTACTTTAATACAAAGAGTGAGCTGTTTCTCCAGCTTCTTTAGCTAGCAATGCTAGTGACTACTTGCAAATTTAGCAATTTAGCCCCTATTAGCATCAATATAAAAACTGATAAGAACTTCTAGAAATTGTTGCAGTCATTCATTCTTATACTAGATAAATTAGAGAGGAGAAGTACAACATGTTAATTTACTTAAGGCTCATAAATCAGAGAGGAAAACTCTGGAGGTCTACAAGGTTCATTTCCTGGGCCTTGCAAGACAGATGCAGCTTACAGTTCTGAAAAGACAAGCCTTTGCAGAAGCTCCTTAAACTGCCAGGGCCAACTCCTGTGGATATAAAAATAGTTAAGATTGTAAAAACGTCTATC